TTTTTTTTTTTTTTTTTTTTTTTTTCTTTCATATTCACAGCCTTCGTCCCAAATAAGTAATTTCCCACGAATTGTCAAAGAAAAAAAAAATTGAAAAATTGAAAAATACGATTTCAACCAAATCGAAAGAATTCGTAAGTCCCTTTGAAGTTTACCTATAATTAGAAAAATAAAAAAAATTACCCACTCTAATCACACTACGTGGACTACTGTTAAACGCATCGCTGATTTTCAAGTAGCTTAATTATTACAACAGCCCTCGGTAGCAGGGAGTAATTAGATGAAACAATTAACATGCTAATTATTAGACTACGCGTGTTGAAAACTGTCCTGCCTGATTATTCATAAGTTATAACGAATCGAGTATATATCGCGTGTCACTGCCGCGAGTACAAACGTCAGATTTAATAACATCGATGTTCCAATTAAATTCTAAGATAAATTTTTTTTTAACGAAGCTCCATTAATTAACTTACCATTTACATTTCACGTTTAATTACCACATTATGCTTTTTAATTAGACGTAGGAATTTTCGAAGAATTCAAAAACTCATTTTGATACATAATAGACGACCCCTATTTAAAAAAAAGGGTAGATCGTTCAGGAACGATTATTCCATTAAAACTGTGCTCGGTGTTCGATGCAGCTGCAGTTTAGAAAATGGAGATGATCCAAAATTACGTAAAATTGCATTTAAAAAAAAAAAAAAAAAAAAAAAAAAAAAAAAAAAAAAAAAAAAAAAAAAAAAAAAAAAAAAAAAAAAATATCCTTCCCACGACTATGATAAAATAAATTGGCTGATCAGCGCTTATAGAAGCATCTGCCGGAAGCTGTAATATATCTGTCGAGACGGTATTGATAGGACAAGGGTAGATGACAGGGGTAAGTTAGGGGTAAAGGAGTATAGAAGGGTGGGAAGAAAAAAAAAAGTAAGAGAACGAAACCACTGTGTAAATTTTCGTATGAAGCAATTCCATACGGTCGACGATAAAATCCACGTGGGTAAGGGGGTAGGGGGGAGGGAGAGGCGGAGGGGATGTTTGTCGAGTGGAAGAAAGGTATTAGCTTGTATTGAAGCAAGCGAGCTATAGCGAATTGGACGAAGAATGGAGTAAAAGTACGGAGGACGTAAGAAGGGCGTACTTTCTGACAGGCGGAGCAAGAAAAAGGGCGTGGCACTGTAAAGTTAGTGGGGATGAAGTTCTGGGCGTGGATGAATTAAATTCACGAAGGAGCTCCCAGTGGCGTAGGGATCATGATATTATGAAAAATTCAAAATACCCCCACCTCTCAAAAAAAATTTTCAATTACGTTTCGTTCCTCGAATCAGTCGATTAATTGGAAAATTGCATTTCGTCATTTTGAAGACAAAAATTTTTTTTTATCCTATGCCTTAATTATTTATTTACAAAAAAATGGATTGCGTATGTCTCCAAGCTTGGGTTATCGATTATGATTTTAAAATTTGAACTTTGGATCGTTAAAGGAGAAGGTACTCTGCCCGTCAGGGTCCACGCCTATGGGAGTGGGGATAACTGCTACCATATATGGAGGGAGATGGTACGGCCCTGGGCGGAGCCCGTTGCAGGAGCGTTAATAGAGATACAATCGAGGGTGTCTAGTGCACTGCACTCTCCTCGGCGTAGGAGTGAAAGGTGGGGTAAGTAGGGACCTGGACTCCCTAGTTTAGACATCACCGAGCGACGGATGGACAGCCAGTCAGACCCGTCACGGCACTCGCTCGAGTACCCACAAACCTCGGGAAAAGCCAATTCGAAAACGCCCAAGACTTGTCCACGTAGTTGGATGATCCATAAGAAGAGACAGAGGAGAGAATAATTACAAGGAGGAAGAAGAGGACGGAAGATTGAAGCTTCAAGCGTTTTCGTCGTGATTCAATTTTATTAGAAAAATATTTTTTTTCCATATCTCGTCACTTGCGCGATTGTTCAGTGACGAATTGACTGAGTGCTTGTAATTTGAAAATCCAAAAAAAAAAACAGTTTTTTCGTGAGGAACCCCACATTGACAAGGACACAATTGTTTCGTGTGTTTAATATCGACTGAGGGCCGGACAAGTTTTTTTATTGACAAAACAGTGCCGTGAAAATTTGTAAAAGTGTCGAAATATATGTCAATGTTTGCAAAAATGTCAGAAAAGCTAAAGTGACGGTATTAAAAAAAAAATTATTTACAAAATTTTTGACTATCTTTTTTTGACATTCAGAAAAAATGAGCGTGACGTTAGTAACCATGGATTCTGCGTACGGTCTACGACTAGGGGTTGGAAATCATCATCGTAGAGTATGCTCACCCTCTTCGCCGGAGAGTCATGTGTCACCACCCCAAGATAATCAAGAAAACAGCGACACACCCTTAAGATTCAGTGTGGTGAACATTCTGAGACCTGATTTTGGCAGGGAAGCAATTCTCAGTACGAAAGCAAAAACGACAAAGCCTACCTTACCGACAGCACATCAAAGACTGTCACTTCCGGTACAAATTTCTCAACACAGTCCGCTTCAAATTCCGCGGGATCTGAGTCTCTCGTCCACAAGACTTTCGCCCCAATTGTCATCCACTTCGAATTTTTCCCTCCATCGCGAGAGGGATGGCCTTTCGTCCCACTGCGGTTTAACATCCCCAATTCAAAGACACACCCTCAGCAGAAGCGGAAGTCTGGAGAGCTTAGCGAGCAACAGAAGCTCCCTTACCGGAAGTTCAATCACTGGTGCACCATCCCTATCATCAGCAGCGTCCACAATAGGCGGCGACTCCATCAGCGGTGACAGTACACACAGCAGCACAAATGGAACCGGAAGTGGCACAAGTAATTCGAGCACGGCACAAAGTCTCTGGCCAGCTTGGGTCTACTGCACCAGATATTCAGACAGGCCATCTTCTGGTATGAAATATTATAACACACAGTTAATTTTATGATAGTAAAGAATGTGTATCTACACCTGTATATATATAGTATATTACTGCAGTAACTTACATTTCGACCTCTTTACACGAAGGGTTAAGGGTTAGGTTCATGTCTGAGGGGTTAACGTTTTATAGCACCTGCACCCTTTCGCAGGACTTAATTATTTCGAGCCTACATCCGCAATCCACCCTTTTCCGTGAAACTGTATGCACTGGTACATACACTGGGGTCCTTTAGCATGCAGCTATAAAAAAAGAGGAGAAATTTATTAAAGTAATTCAGGTCTGTGTAAAACAGCATCGTTTTGCATATTCTCCAGCAACACAATGCAAAGCTCGTTTAGAGCTTCTCAAATTAATTCTTTTAAAAAAGAAAAAAGAGAAAAGCAATGGTATTAAAATTTCAGCTGTCCCACAGAGGTCCCATTTTTTGGTCTTTCATTTCATTTCCGGAGTCGTTACAGTTGGTATTTAATAAATATTCATTGCCTCCACTTCCCCCTTCCATCGATCCGACCAACCAATAAAATGTATTATGAGCAATACGACCGCCATGCCAATCGCTCTATCCTGTTTTTCACATTATTTATATGTCATATATCGTCGTGGGATCTCATTGAATTATAGATGCTATAATAATTCTACCTGTAAAAGCAAGCATCGAAATTGATTCAGTACACGTACGATACTTAAATACCTGTACACCCGGATAGAAAGTAATTCTCTGGGCCCCCGTCAAGAGTACACAGTAGCGCTGTCACCAGTTTCAATTGCAGGTTGTATATACATATATATGCAATATGCATGCGACGTGTGCTAGAAAAGAACAGAGCGAAAGAAGGGAACGTCCCAAGGGGTGATACGTTTCTCAGTGTTAATTACGAAATAAAGAATTCCGCTTTCCTCTCTATACTTTTTCTTTTGCTCTTTCCACAGCCCTATTTATCTAGCATGCAGAAGCAGCCTGCGTACACGAGCTGACAAGAGCCCTAGCCCTTTGTTCTACAGAACGCTTAATAATTAAGCCTCATTTAAAACTACCCTCTTCCTTCATCGCATTCCCAACTGTTATCAAGCCCCTACGGTGTTTACCAAGTCAAACTACCCCTTTTACAAAAACTCGTAGAAAATAGCCGATGAATCCTCGAGAGACCCTGCATTTCGCTTTCAACTATTTATAACCTCTCAACTCACTACGGTAAACGGTGTAAATGCAAAGCTACTGTTATTATTCATGCTTGAATTTCTGACTTGAAAACATAAATACACTCAATGTATCAGGAAAAAGGAGAAATAATACCTTGCGAGACTCGTTCGTCTTGAAGTATCCTGTACGTTGCACACGAGACACTACGCACTATTGTCGCAAATGAAGATTTGCGCCAATTTGCGCCATCTGTCAATCGTCTTTGGTATTAAGCTTCGTTTACAATGTATCGGCCGTTGTCTACTGTCCTATTATGCTTTGTTTGCAGGCCCGAGAACTAGACGCGTAAAGCGCGTTCACAGCAACGAAAAACCCACTAGCCCAGAAGACAAACGGCCTAGGACGGCCTTCAGCGCTGAGCAGTTGGCAAGACTGAAGCGTGAATTTGCCGAGAATCGTTACTTGACCGAAAGACGGAGGCAGCAACTGTCACGCGATCTTGGATTGAACGAGGCGCAAATAAAGATTTGGTTTCAGAACAAGAGAGCCAAGATCAAGAAAGCAAGTGGACAGAAGAATCCATTGGCACTTCAGTTAATGGCACAGGGCCTTTACAATCATTCTACAGTTCCCGTAGACGAGGACGGCGAAGAGATTGTCGACGACACGTCTTAGTAAGGTTAACACTATTTCCCATACACAAATCTTTACTCGTACGATCCTCCCGTTAGTAATAATAATCTCGTATGATATTCTCGAAACAGTATACAAGATCCACGAATATTTCCTACTCCTTTTATCAAAATGGCGACTCGCACCTATCGCACTGTATTATTTATTTCAAGAATCGCATCAGGGTTCTAAATACGATACGTTTCGAAATTCACTGCCGGTACTACGAGTATCTATGCATCTTTTTTCATCGACATGCAATAGAGTGAGACGCAGTCACGCTCACAGTGAATTTCTTTATTATATTCGGTAAATACGTAACCGTAGAATCCTGTAGATTCGCAGATCTATCAGCCAGAAATAATTCCCATTGATTATACACGGTGTAGACTGATGTCGATTATTTATTGGCAGAGTGCGTACGTTACGAGTCGGCATTATGGTCGAGTCAGTTCCGATTAACAGTTAAGTTATTTATTTACTTTGTATATAGTACTGTACATAGTGCTAGATTTATCTGAAAAGAAAGAAAAAGAAAGAGGGGGAGAGAGAGAGAGAAAGAGGCAGCAATCCAACTTGCATATGTAAGATACAAGGTTTATGTATATATATATAGAGAAAGATTATATATAGAGATATACAAATATACCTGATATATAGCTTAGGCCTATGAATGAATGTATATGATTATACGATTACGAAAGGATCTCATATGTACATAGATACTCGACTTGCATATGTTATATTACATAGGAATCGCATAATCCTGTCCCAGTGTCTTGTTACGCTCATAGCCATGTAATCAACATACATAATTCTACCTGCGATTAAACGACTTGTTACGAATTTCATACTGGTGCCTTCTTGATCTATGACCTTCTTTAATAAACAGTATATCTTTATATGTAGATATACGTTGTAATATATGATTCTGGTATTTGAGTAAAGTCAAAAAAAAAGAAAATGGTGGTAAGCAGTATATGGAAGTCCGTGTATAAGTTTATACACAAGAAATACATGAAAGAGGGGAGTGACAAGAAACAAGGGCAAAAGACTCGAAAATAGGAAAAGTTAAAGAGTCAGAAGTTAAGCGAAGCGCGGAAACGTCGCTAATTATACGTATGAGTGGGCGTACCCCGTGCCCGTCGTGTACGCTCCATTTTCGGTGACACACTGCGCCGCTAATTGACCCCGAATTAATGAGCCACCCGGTATTTCGACGTGTACCGAATGTCCCACTGACAAATGGAAGCGCGCGGAAACAGTTCGTCGCGACATTAAGCACCGCGACCTGCTGCAATTAGTCGACGTCAAAATAATATCGAGATCGTTATCGCGATACGGACAAGTAAAACTGATCACGCGGAAACAATTGCTACGAGGATATGAATTTTCATAAATAAATGAAAAATTACAGTACTTCGAAAAAAAAGCGTAAAAAATTTTTTTTTGTCAAATTTTTTTTTTACAAAATCTAACCAAGCGACCACCTACCCTCTCTCCCTGGCATTGTACCGAGGATAAATTACAGAGTCGTTCTATTCCGGTCCATTGTGTTTAACTGCGCCAGTGCGTAATTACTACTGCGGCCAGAACGCGAGAACACTTGGCGTAAGAGAGAAGAGAATTGTGAAAGAGAGTAAGAGTGAGCTTATGGCCAACATGGAGAGAGAAAGAGAGACAGACACACGAGTATGGGGTTGGATCGTGGTTGTGGTCCAAGCTATAGTCACCACGATGGCCATTAGAGGTCGGACCTCGTTGCCGCTAGTGGCTCACTAAATTTCATCTTCTTGTACCACCTTGTATCCCGCAAATTAATGGTTGCGCAACCTAGTTTATTACAACGTCAAAAAGCACGTGAGTTACCTAAATTTCCTACAGTCCCGAAGCGCCACGTTAGGATAGAATTTGTACCGATATAAAGAACGTCGGTAATGCAGGGATCTGCAACTGTAAAAAAACCAATGTTGATTTCACTTCACAGTCCTTCACTCACAGTTATTATAATTTCTGGTAAGTTGGTAACAGTCGTAATGGCTACCCTGCAGTCAAGATCCGTAGAAGTTCTCTAACGAGTAACGAGTGTTGTGTGTCTCTGGTTCGGCCGCGTGTCAAATTAGGCAAAGAGGGCGAGTGGGGTTGAGGTGGGCGTTTGGCGGCAAAGCAAAGTGAAATTTATCGCCTTTGGCTTTTTGGAATGGCGCGACTATCCAGCATCCACCCGGCACCACTTAGCTGCCCGTAAATGTGTCACGTATGATCTGCTCACAGATGTTTAACCATAGATCACGCGAAACGTGCCGTGCTAGGCGTCATGGCGGCGATGTGCCGTCGGGTTCGGTGTTTTTGAGACGGCAGTAAAAGGATTCGGCATCGAAGCAGATGAGGAACGGTAAGAGAGAGAGAAATAGGATAAAGGGAAGAAGATTTTTAAAAAATAACCAGAATCTCACTGGTATATACACTTGGTTCAGAAGATATTCCTCTCGGCCGTGTCCCGTGTAATTGGCTGGACTGTGAACGCGATATTAGATCCTCGTTATCCTAACGAGCCGAAATACTCGGCTAAAACTGTGAGCGTCTCTGGGAAAATTCAAAGGCACACAAAATCCTACTAGCTTGACTATATACATCATCTTCCAATTTAAATTTTATCCACGACCACTCAAGGTCCATGGGTCTCTTGTGGATGCTGTTTTTTAAATTTTTATTTTGAATCTCCCGCTCTGTTTTTTCTTTTTCCATGTACTACGCTACGCATTGTCTTTATGAGCGAATTCCTCTTCTTGGGATTTATGCTATATACTAATGACTGCCCTTTTACCTAGTACTTTTACTCGCGACGTTTAAGGTAGAGTGAGGTATAAAGGTTCTTGTCTGTGCTCAGTATCTGAGAATGTCCGTGACTCTGTATTATACTGTAGGTGCGAGACTTGTCAGAGTAGTGAGACCACCCAACGTGATCGCACGGGACTTCGGGAGAGACCGGCAGTCGGAGATTCCTGAGGATGAGGAAGGGGTTGGGGCTGAGAGAGACAGAGAGAGAGAGAGAGAGAGAGAGAGAATGGGCATCTGGGTAGGAATGCTTGTTGGGTCATTAATGCCCCTCGCTATGCACACTTTGTATGGATCTGACCAAATCAGTGACCGATTGGTATTCCCCTTTGGGCCCGCTGTTCTTATTTCAAAAAGGGGCCCGTTTTTTTTTTGGTTCGACGCGATTGGCGAATTTCGTGTAAAGGGGGGTTGAAAAAATGGCTACGGGTCTATGGGAATTTTCGGAGAGGGCGAGGGGTCGTCTTTGACTCAATCCTTTCGCAAGGCATCATGAAGAGAGGATGCAAAAAAAACGTTAAGGGCCGTATTATTTTCGGGAGCAATTGTCCGGACCACCCCTCGCGCGGGGGTAATTAAATTCTTTGCGAGAACGATTCCGGAATGTCATCGAGCCTTGCGCAATTAAAGGTAAAACGTTTCATTTCTTGGGAAGTGTAAAATAGAATGAAAAAAGGGGGGGGGAGACAGGAGGGGGAGGCTCCTGGTAATTAAAAGAAGACTGTGAGGGTGGAAAAGGAATTTTTTTTGTTTCTTTCTTATGGGGGTTGCCGCGTGTCTTCTCCTGACGGCTCGTGACTCGTGTTGCATGCTAATTTTCTGGATCCTCTTCCTTTTTTCTCCCCCTTTTTTTTACGCTCCCTCTTCTCCCTTTCACCCGCCCTGTCGTTCGAACGATCTTTTTACGTTTGGAATATTCAACCCCTAACCTCCGCACCGGTGCGGCAGCCCCTCCGATTGAAATAGTTCCGAACAATTATCATTTGAAACCCGGCCTGCCGTGGCTTCGCAAAAGTACCGTCAGCCCGTGCGCCAGCGACCCTTATCAAATGCTCGCACCCTTCGCGCCCTGTGCTACCCTTATACCAACCCTATGACCAATGGCGCGAAAGAATTTGCCCTTTTCTTCCCCCCCACCCCCCCCCCCCCC